TTGGCCAGAATCATGGGAACAGAGCTGGTCGGCCCCTTTAGGGTCCCCGAAGGTGTAAAGATGACCTCTGCTATGTATGTGGAGTTTATGACTGACCACTTTCTTCCCTGGTACAGAAGGAAGAACTATGCTTTCCGTAATAAAATCATCTTCATGCATGACAATGCACCATTTCATGCTGCAAATAATACCTCTGCATCAATGGCTGCTATGGGGATAAAAGGAGAGAAAGTCATGGTGTGGCCTCCATCCTCCCCTGACCTCAATCCTAGTGAGAACCTTTGGAGCATCCTCAAGCAAAAGATCCATGAGGGTGGGAGGCAGTTTACATCCAAACAGCAGCTCTGGGAGGCTATTCTGACATCTTGCAAACAAATTCAAGCAGAAACTGTCCAAAAACTCCCAAGTTCAATGGATGCAAGACTTGTGATCTGCTATCAGATAAGGGGTCCTATGTTACAATGTAACGTGACCTGTTAAAATGTTTAAAAAGTTAAAATGTTGTTAAAAGTTTGATTGAAATAGATTTTGATTTCAGTAAATATGCTGCAAACACAACAAATGACAATTTTCAGTTCTTTATAACCTATAAAAAGTGTTTTGAACCTTACTGTGTGGAATAATTTGGAACAAAAATTCTGTTATCATTAGGAGGTTTGTTCAATGAAATGTGAATTGTACTCTTATAGTTGATAACCTGAGAATTATGCTGACTGTTATTTACATCAATTATTTAGGTAAATGAGAAAAATATCATTTGCATAATAATTTGGAACACGGTGTGTCTGTGTGTGTGTATATATATATATATATATATATATATATATATATATACACACATATACACACACACACAATGATTTTGCGCAGCCCTGCTGCCATGTAGCAGTAGTTCTGCTTTAGGACGGTCGGAAAGCGATTAACAAGGGGTGTATAGACATCGCCATTCTCAGTTCTAAAGCTCTATGTACTGTTTAGTCTGATAAAGAAAACAAGTTATAATTTGCCTTCATGCATTATAAATGTTAATTAGGCCCTCCGAGAAGCAAATTACAGCTTACAGGTTTCCAAGTTTCTGTTTATCCTGCAAAGAGCGGCACGATCCGCAACGCTTTCCTACACAATAATTCAGAGTAAACAGCTCGTTGCCCATTCTATTCCCTTAATGTGCAGGCCTGGGAGGTCATTTAAATGATTTAAACATGCTTCCTTGCTAATGAATATGCTTTGGTTAAAGAGTAGCTGGCATTAAAGCTGACATTTATGTGCTTAAATTTTACCTTTAATGGTTCCTCCCCTATTCCCCCCCCCCCCTCAACATGCTGTTGCCATTTTTAAATAAAACCTTTCCATTGTCATTACACACCTTATTACAAGTCATCACTGGGCTTCTGTGTTTCACTATGCAATGCAGGCAGATCATGTTTGTGTGCAGTGAAATCATAGTAGGCAATTTAAGCTGAAGAGGGGAGCAGGTACAACTGTGCAAAACTGCCGGGAAACCATGGACATTATTCTATATTAAGCTGATCTCATATCCATTAGACATGTGCAGCTTGTTTCGTTCCGAATTGAAATCCAGACAAATTTTCCATTGTTCTGAGATTCGGATGGAGCTGAATTACAATAGTAGTGAATTTAAACAAATCTGAAATAATGATATGAAATTCAGCTGAAATTCGATAGGATTAAAATTCCAAAAACACATTCAAAAATTCAGAAACAAAATTTGAAAACCAATTCAAATTTGAAAACAAGAATAGAATAAAATAGAACAGAAAATAAAGCAATAGAAAATAACAGGATACCATAGAAAATAAAAGAATAGAAGAGAAAAAAACAGAATAGAAAATAAAAGAATAGAACAGAATACAGTAGAAAATATAAGAGTAAAACAGAACAAAATAGATAGAAAATAAAGGAATAGGAAAGAACAGAATCCATTAGAATAGCAAAAATTAGAATAGAAGAGAATAGAATAGAAAAGATTAGAATAGAAAATCAAAGAATAGAAAAGAACAGAAAAGATTAGAATAAAAAAATAAAGAATAGAAAATCAAAGAATAGAAGAGAAAAGAATAGAAAATCAAAAATAGAACCCCAAAGAACAATCATTCACAGAGGGAGGACAGATCACAGATTGCAAATGCTAAAATAATTTATTTTCTAATTACAAATATACATTTCAGTGTCTTTTACATAAAACACAGATCCACATATAAAATGCATTCTAGAAGAGGGAAGGTCATGCCTAGACTGATGGATTTCCATTGTGCTGGGACTGGCTGTACATCAAAAGCTGGGACTAGCTGTACATCATGGAATGACAGGTAAGTGCTCCATGTAGACTGACCTTGAGTCCAGCTACATAATCGTGATGGTGCTGGACCAAATGTAATCACAAGTTCTCCAGGCATTCTGCCATATTGTAAAATGTGCTGGCTTCCTAGGACTTAAAAGTGTTACTTAGCCCAGGACCTGCATTCACTATATCCCCTCTCCCCGGACCCCGCATTCACTATATCCGCTCTCCCCCAGACCCCGCATTCACTATACCGCTCTCCCCGGACCCTGCATTCACTATACCCGCTCTCCCCGGACCCTGCATTCACTATACCCGCTCTCCCCGGACCCTGCATTCCCTATATCCGCTCTCCCCGGACCCTGCATTCCCTATATCCGCTCTCCCGGACCCTGCATTCACTATATCTGCTCTCCCGGGACCCTGCATTCACTATATCCGCCTCCCGAACCCCGCATTCACTATATCCACTCCTCTCCCGGACCCTTCATCCACTATATTTACTCTCCCCGGACCCTGCATTTACTATACCGCTCTCCCCGGACCCCGCATTCACTATATCCGCTCTCCCCGGACCCCGCATTCACTATATCCGCTCTCCCCGGACCCTTCATCCACTATATCCGCTCTCCCGGACCCTGCATTCACTATATCCGCTCTCCCCGGACCCCGCATTTACTATATCCGCTCTCCCCGGACCCCGCATTCACTATATCCGCTCTCCGCAGACCCCGCATTCACTATATCCGCTCTCCCCAGACCCCGCATTCACTATATCCGCTCTCCCCAGACCCCGCATTCACTATATCCGCTCTCCCCAGACCCCGCATTCACTATATCCGCTCTCCCCGGACCCTCATTCACTATATCCGCTTTCCCCGGACCCTGCATTCACTATATCCGCTCTCCCCGGACCCTGCATTCACTATATCCATTCTCCCCGGACCCCACATCCACTATATTCGCTCTCCCAGGACCCTGCATCCACTATATCTGGTCTCCCACAGTACACAGAACATGGAAATGCAATAAATATAAACTGCTAAATACCTTTTCTCATCAGCAGTATATAGCAGTCTTGTGACTTCTATCAGTGTCCAGCCCAGCACTAGCTAAAGCTTGCAGGAGTTTGATGCTGCACTGCTCCGGAATTTAGAGCAGAGTTGTCGCTCTCATGCATGGCTCACACTACAGTGGGAAGAGAAGATTCTGCTGGGGTTTGGCTATCAGCCTTGTCAATGGTGATTCGCAAGCCTGTAGCGTATCCATCAATCCCTGGCCACACTTTGTCCCACCAATGATCTTTTGGATTTAAAGTACTACCTCTGTTACTGGAACCTGCCACCCACTGTGAGCTGCAGTGTCTGGGAGGGGGAACATGTGAGACACAAAGGAGGATTTGGCTCAGTTAGGGAAGAGAAAAAGCTTTTTCCTTACTTTACGAGGCTTCTGCATCATATGTAAAATGGATTTTGTACTCAGACTATCACACGGTGTGTAAAGAGTAATGCAGGCCATAGACGGGTCGTTTATCGGCTGAATTGTCGGCCGTTCTGTTGCCACCAATGCTTACGAAAATCGGCCGTTTTTCATAGATTTTCCAGCATGACTGATAAAAGAACCGAGAAGGAACCGCGAAAATCGGCCGACGACATTGTCCCAATATCGGCCGATTATTCTTTCGGATGAAAATTCGGCCAATAAACGACCCGTCTATGGCCTGCATAAGTCCAATTTTGTTGAGGAAAAAAAAGAAAAAAAAATTACCCTCTGGGATGTCAATTTCAAGGATTTTTTTGTTGCAGATTTCAACCTTTTGTTACTCTGAAGAAACAGCTATTTGTTTGTCTGTGTCCATGTGCAGAGTGAATGTGTATGGGAATGACTTTATAATCATCAACCAGCTATTGCACCTGCAGGGCTCTAATGTGGACAGTGGCAGGGTTTGCATTCTTTTAAAGCTGGCCATACACGGGTCAAATTCCGAAATAATTTTCTTTAGAAAATCTTTTTCGAAGAATTTTCGTTGTAATTTCACAATGTTAGTGGACCACAGCAATTGACAGTTTTCAAGCGATCATCGAATTTGAAAAAAAAAAAAAACTTGCGGCAAAGAAAAAAAAAAGGAAAAAATGCACCGGAATAACGCATCAACTGCAACATGCATAGGTGTGAATCTAGCCTAAGGCCTGCCATAGACGGTTTGAACCTCAGCCATTTCAGCAGTAACTGGCCGAGATTCGAACTGTGTGTGGGAAGGCTGAATGTACCAAGATGATCAATCCAGTCAATCAACTAGGGTACAACCAGTCTGCCAGATTCACCTGCGAATATCGCTGCTATCAATCATTGTCCTCCCAGCGGGGGGGGGGGGGCTTTCCCTGCCAGGAGAAGACAATTTCTTGGCAAGAGGGATTCCCCTGTCAGCACTCTCTGTGTTCTGTGTTGATGGGAGGAATGTGTGAATTTGTTTCCTGCAACCCGTCGTTTCAGGAAAGAAATTTGCACCATCTATGGCCTTCCTAACAGGATGCGGTCCGATGAAGCCGGGAGAAATGGGTTAAAACATGTATAGGATCTTTTCTTTGGGTATATCAGTGTCCCCTCAGCTTGTCAGTACAACGATCGGAGGTTAGCTTTGGATCCCATTCACTACTCTGCCTGTTGGTGCTACTCAGCGCCTATTATCTGCCATGTGTCACACCACGGCAAAAAGCTGTCTCAGCTTCTCGAGGAGCTGCTGGGTCTCCACGTGATCAGGAAAAGCGGCTTCTGACTTCTGCGCGGCCACATAGCTGCTCTGGAGGTCTCCGACCTGAAAAGACAAGGCATTAAAAACCTTAACCACATTTCTGCAATTAAAAGTGGTGTCAACCATTATAGACACATCAGGTTAAAAACCACAAACACTGCCGAGGACCGGTCCTTTACTGGGAGCAGGAAGAGCGGCTTGTAGTGGTCCCCCCCAAAGGTGAATCCCTGATATACTATACTTACCTTCATGAGTGGTTCCCCTTGCTGGATGGTTGCTTGTTCCTGGAGCCTGGAGAGTGATGCGATGTGTTACCTGTCTTGCGGAGGTTTGCCAGATGACCCCCAGAGTCCCCTTTTCAGATCCAGATGACCAGGAGTTGGTTTGAATTACTCAAATGCGCATGACATTGTGCTTTCTGGTTAGTGCAATATACATTCATTTACAGCCACTGGAATCACGGAATTTCACCTGATGATTTATTATTCAGCTTGGAATTATCATCTTTATATCACTTTGTGCACTTTAAGCGTCACAACTGGACATTATTTCCATTGTTTTTTAGCGCTCCTTAGCGCATAATGTTGCTTTTATACCATAAATACAGTTGACTTATTTATTCTCATTATATACAGCGCTGCACACTATATGTACTGCCGAGGAAGGGGATGGGGTCACACTCTAAGAACATGGCCTCAGCTTCTGGATGAAAATACAAAAAATTGTAGTATGTGAGGCTGAAACAAACATATAGCAAAAGAGGAAGACGTTCTGCGCTGTGGGAAGGTGAAGGATGGAGAAAGCTGAGGCTTGTCTGCTGAGTGTGACGGGGTTTGGGATCTTTTAGAATAGAGGGGTGAAAAAGTATGTAGAATTCGAGACTCCCAAGGACATCATCCTGTGAATCTGATATGTCTGGCAATAAACACATTTATTGCAGCTTTGTTTTGGGGCTGAGCCCTCTGGGGTCTTCCCACAGGACCGAAGGAGCTCATTTGTGTGCCCCCTGGTCAATGCAGGGCAGTTCCCGTGCTGCAGAAGGGTAAGGGGTGTGTTTGTAGGAGTTTTTATTTCAATGCACTATTCCCGAAGACACGATCCTGCATAAACGGCCGTGTTTGGTTCAAGCCAGTGGTCAATGCAGCACCCTTTTACAAAGACAATCAATCAGAGTGAGAGAATGTCACCAGCACACCATGGATCTCCAGAATGGGTCCAACACTTTATTCTGTGATCACATTATTACAGCAGAACAGGGGCGGACTGACCATTTGAAAACTCGGGCACTGCCTGAGGGCTCGGGGTCAGTAGGGGGCCCCATGAGATGCCCCTGGTACCTTTTTCATAGGCTTTTTTGAGTTTGGGCAAGGACACAGGGGCCTCATGATCCCTATTGCCCGGGGGCCCCATGAGTTTTCAGTCCGCCCCTGCAGCAGAAGCAAGGTTTTGTGCTGCCCTAGGCAACACAAAGATCAGATGCCCCCGGCAGAGAGAGAGCCTGACACCGACCAACACCAGACCCCCCCCTCCCGTGGAGAGAGCCTGACAGTGCCCAATAACACCCTCGCCCCATTCCCCCCCCCCCCCGGGAGAGCCTTTCCACTAACACTCCCCCCTCCCTACCTGGCGACAGAGAGAAATACACTCACTTTCACAGCTTTGGATGGCCCGGGGGAATGACAGTCTGGCTCTGCATACACCATCAAGCAACCCGCGGCCTCTCCCAGATCCTACCTGGTGCCCATGCTGCATATATCCCTTATTCTGGAGGTCAGTGCTGCCCCCCCTAAAAACTGCCGCCCTAGGCAAATGCCTTGTTTGCCTTGTGGTAAATACGCCCCTGCTCACAAGATCCCTTCATGAGGCATGTGATGGTCACATGTCTGATGAAGGGGTCCTGCGAGGCTCCGAAATGCTTTCTTTTATTTCTTCTCCTTGCTTATAAGGACAATATCCACTTTTCCCCCACTTTATGTGTAGTTAGCTTATATTGATTGTATCTCTTTCTTTTTAGTACATATTATCGTGTATGTGATTGGACATACTTATTAAATTTGACACATATGGTCCTGATGAAGCAGGGTGACCCACGATATGCACAGAACAATCTATGTCAAATTCTAATCATCGTATGTGAAATCACTGGGCCCTACCTATCCCATTGTCATTACCACATATGATATAGTATTATTTGTTTTAAAAGTGGAATTGCACTGCATCTGAGCACCACAGACCAAAAATGCTTTTTAATTCATTGTTAATATTCAAAGCAAACACCCCCATCCATCCATGTCTCCATGCTTTATTTTGCTGAAAAATCACTTTGAAAAACACCCCCCCAGCATTTCTGGCTGTTGCCATCTTGAGAAAGGGCAGAAGATTCATGTAGCATTTACTTCCTGAAATCCATCTGCCATTAGCTCTGGCATTGGCTAACCTGAGAACCCTAGCTCCCCTCCTGAAGTCTGCTGGGATGTATTAGATCATTGGCCTAGGCCTGGAAACCAAGAAGTAACTGATGAATTGTTAAAAAAAAAAGTTTCAAACAAGTAAATATGATATACTTATATCTATTTACTAATGCTAGCAGCATAAAGATTAAAATAGTTCATGTTGACTGACAGAGTTAAGTTCCACTTTAACCTACCTTTTTTATATTTGTACGTGACTATTTGTAAAAAAGGATGCTTTTATTGTTCATTCTCTGACTGACTCCCATTGTCTGAAACCCAATTTACATATCTGTCTCTTTCTGGGGTTGGGATCTTCTGAGCCAAATACAAACGAATTCATTCAACTAAAAATTGTGGCCAGGTACCTTGTGATACGACAGGTTTCCTTTAACCGATAATGCTTCCTGATCATTTTACGTGTGGTATTCCCTGTAAGGTTGGATCCGCTCTTGTACTGTGCATTTCATGAACTATTACTCCCACATTAGTTTTAAATTAGTCAAGCAGACACCATACTTTCAGATCCGGATACTCACATTGTCCGAGAGGGAAGCAAAGTTGAAATGTGGCTCATACATGTGAGGGGCCAGGGCTGCGGAGGTCTGCAGTAGAGCTCGGGCCTGAAGGGATATAAAGACAATGTGTCACACACAGAATTCATATACAACATACATTTTTCTAAATAAACCCCATTTCCGGGCAATATCTGTTGTCAGTAGTCTGGTGGGCACATACAGTTAGGTCCATATATATTTGGACACAGGCACAATTTTCATACTTTTGGCTCTGTGTGCCACCAGAATAGATTAAAATGAAACAATCCAAATGAATGTGAAGTGCAGACTTTCAGCTTTAATTCAAGGGGGTGAACAAATATCAAGTACAAATTTTAGGAACTGCAACAATTTGTATACATAGTCCCTCCATTTTCAGGGGCTCAAATATAATTGAAAAAATGAATAAAATCATAAATAAAATGTTCATTTTTAACATTTTGTTGAGAATCCTTTACTGGCAATGACTTCCTGAAGTCTGAAACCCATGGATATTACCAAAGACTGGGTTTCCTCCTTTCTGATGCTTTGCCTGAAGTCTGGAACCCATGGACATTACCAATGACTGGGTTTCCTCCTTTCTGATGCTTTGGTAATGTCCATGGGTTCCAGACTTCAGGCAAAGACTGGGTTTCCTCCTTTCTGATGCTTTCCCTGAAGTCTGGAGCCCATGGACATGACCAAAGACTGGGTTTCCTCCTTTCTGATGTTTTGCCTGAAGTCTGGAGCCCATGGACATTACCAAAGACTGGGTTTCCTCCTTTCTGATGCTTTGCCAGGCTCTAACTGCAGCTGTCTTCAGTTGTTCTTTGTTTGTGGGTCTTTCTGCCTTTAGTTTTGCCTTCAGCAAGTGAAATGCATACTCAGTTGGGTTGAGATCAGGTGATTGACTTGGTCATAGCAGAATATTCCACTTCATTTCCTTCAAAAGCTCCTGGGTTGCTTTTGCAGTGTGTTTTGGATCCTTGTCCATCTGTACTGTGAAGCGCCATCCAATCAGCTTTGCTGCATTTGGCTGAATTTGGGCTGACCGTATATCTGTGAACACTGCAGAATTCATCTGGCTGCTTCTGTCTTCTGTCACATCATCAATAAACACCAATGACCCAGTGCCACTGGAAGCCATGCATGCCCATGCCATCACACTGCCTCCACCATGTTTTACAGATGACGTTGTGTGCTTTGGATCATGAGCTGTTCCAAGCCTTCTCCACACTTTTTTCTTCCCGTCATTCTGGTACAGATTCATCTTCGTTTCATCCGTCCAAAGAATACTTTTCCAGAACTGGTCTTGCTTTTTTAGATGTTTTTTGGCAAAGTCTATTCTGGCTTTTCTATTTTTCAGACTTATGAATGGTTTGCACCTTGTGGTGAACCCTCTGTATTTGCTCTCGTGAACTCTTCTCTTGATTGTAGACTTTGACAATGATGCGCCCACACCTCCTGGAGAGTGTCCGTCACTTGTCTGGGTGTTTTGAATGGGTTTTTTTGTATCATAGAGAGGATCCTGCGATCATCCACCACTGTTATCTTCTGTGGACGTCCATGCCTTTTTATGTTGCTGAGCTCACCAGTGCGTTCTTCTTTCCTCAGAATGGACCAAACTGTTGATTTGGCCGCTCCTAATGTTGCTGCGATCTTTCTAATGGATTTGTTTTGTTTTTGAAGCCTTACAATTACCTGTTTCACTTGCATGGACAGCTCCTTTGAATGCATGATGAAGGTTCACAGCAATAGATTCCAAATGCAAATCCACATTTAGAATGCTACACCATTTACCTGATTAACTGATGAAGAAATAACAAAAGAGTAGCCCACACCTGGCTATGAAACAGCATTTGATCCAATTGTCCAATTACTTTTGCTCCCTTGAAAAAGGGGGATGGCTAATCCTAAAAGCTGTAATTCCTAAACCCTTCCTCCAATTTGGATGTACATACCCTCAAATTAAACCTGAGACTGTGAACTGTCAGCCCATATCCATTATAGAACTATAGCTTGAATGTGTTTTGGTAAATACCTGCAAAAAAACTAAAATTGTGCCTGTGTCCAAATATATATGGACCTAACTGTATATACCTAGTAGCAATGTAATCTCCATTTACTTAACAGAAGCCTCATCCTCCTCAGATCACTCCTAACAGTCAATCCTCAGAGGCTATTTGCAACTTCCTGTCCAAAGGGCAAAAAAAAAAAAAAAAAGCTGATTGATGACCTCATCGGTACAGTTAAGTGTTTTTTTTACAGTGACTTCACAGTTAAGAACACAAAGTATATCAGAGTTCACATGAAGGGATTTATAAGGATAATTAGAAGAATGGTTTTTATCTTGGGAAATCAGCTTTAAAGTATTTCCCATCTTCCCCCTGACAGGGTCAACCTGTCACTCTAACCAACTTAAAATGATTCCCTAGGAGCCAGTGGCCCTCATCATTACTGCTTCCTTAACCCCTTCCTGCCGACAGTATGAATATACGCGGCCTCACGAAAGCGGGTCTTTATCTATGAGGCCGCATATATACGTACTTGTCTTTGTGCTGGGAATGCACTGTGCAGTGTGCTGAAAGAACAGAGACTGGGCTCCCGTGTCTCATACTAGTGATCAGGACCAAGGACTCATTCCCGTTCACCTGACTGCAGTGATAGCCTCTGATTGGCTATCACAGTGGTAAGTCACCAAGTAGCCTGCCTATGTGTTTGCATTTCTTTCTCTCCATTCAGAAAAAGAAGAATTGTATCCTTCTCTCCATGCAGGGGAGAAAGATGAAACAAAACAAATGCAAAAAAAAAGAAAAACCACAAAAAACAAAAAGAAAAAAAAATAAAGGAAATAAAAATAGGTAGATCAAGGCTTGATCTAGGTCAGTGTCAGGGTTAGTGTCAAAGGTCAGGATCCATACATTTTGGGTGGGATTTTCTAAGAAAGAAAAAAAAAAAAAAAAAAGTAAAATGCACTCTATTTATTTCTATAGTATTTTTTAAATTTGTATTAGTCTCCGGGTCAGTGACTGTTTGTGTCAGTGTGTTTTAGTAGGGTTAAAAAAAAAAAAAAAAAAAGTAAAATGCACACTTTATTGTTTCTGCACCGTACTACAGGTACAAACAACATAATCTTGTGGTGTTGTGGCGACCGACGAGAGCAGGAGAATTTATTTTAGGTTTTTCTTTGGTGGTGGGTAATGTTAATAGCAAGAAATACACAGCTGCATTTAAAAAGACCCCAAAAACAAATTTTACTACTTTGGGCCAGTTTTCCTTTGCTAATAATAATAAAAAACAACCAACCACAAACAAACATTATTATTACATCGGGTTTATATAGCGCCAAAGGGTTTACTCAGCGCTGTACAATAGGGGGGGGGGACAATACAAGAAACAGAACAGCAACAACAACAGCACACGAGGGGTTAGAGGGCCCTTCGAACTTACAATCTAGGAGGGAGGGGATAGTGGCACAGGAGGAAGTGGCTGTGGGGGATGGAGTGGTAGGAGGAATGAAGAACGGCTGTTAGGTGAGGGTGGGATAGGCTTCCCTGAAGAGGTGGGTTTTCAGGGAGCACCTGAAGGTGAGGAGGGAAGGTGACAGTCTGATGGATTAGGGCAGCGAGTTCCAGAGGATGGGGGAGGACCTGGAGAAGTCTTGCAGTCGTGTGTGGGAGGAGGAGACCAGAGAGCAAGATAGAAGGAGATCCTGTGAGGAGCGAAGGGCACGGGTAGGGTGGTACTTGGGAATCAGGTTGGTGAGGTAGTCAGGGGCAGTGTTGTGAATGGCTTTGTAGGTCAGGGTTAGTAGTTTGAATCTGATGCGTTGGGCAATCGGGAGCCAGTGGAGGGAGAGGCAGAGGGGGAGCGGTTGGTGAGGTGAATGAGTCTGGCCGCTGAGTTCAGGATGGTCTGGAGCGGGGAGAGCCTGCACTGGGGTAGGCCGGTGAGGAAGGGAGTTGCAGTAGTCAAGGCGTGAGATAATCAGGGAGTGTACGAGTAGTTTAGTGGTGTCTGGGGTAAAGAAGGTATGTATCTTGGCGATGTTGCGGAGGTGGAGCCTGCATGTGTTTGTAAGTGATTTGACATGAGATAACCGTTATCATTTACCACCACAGGAGAACCCAATTTGTCCTGTAAAAAACGCCGTACAATCCGACTGGGTACACAAAGTAGTTGCAATATTATGTACAGTTTTACAACACGTGTCACAGTAGCAAAATTGTGTTCAGGTGCTAACATTTGTCTTACCCTCAGTCACTAAGGGGTTAAGAACGGGTGATTCACAACAACATGAAGACTGGCTTCAGTAACATGCATTATATCTCCAGCTAACGCATGGCACTTTGCGTGCTGCACCACACTGCCATTCATTTAGAGGAGAGCCCCAGTGTACAGATACAGCAGATGGCAATGCAGCAGCAGTACTGCTGTATAAAAAGTTAAAAAAACTGAAAAAACAAAAAAATGCTCCAAGTTACTAACCTGCTCAAAACGATTTTTGCGCATCTCCAAGACAGCCAGGTTATTATAAGCCTCTGAGTGATCGTTGTTGTTGGCCAGACTCAGCTTGAAGCACTGATATGCCAAATTAAGGTCACTGATCCCCTGAAATAACAAACATGGGTCAGATCAATATAAAAGTGCATAATAAATGGCAGTAATCTAAAAATCAATACTGAAATCGGCTCTCAGCAAGGACATGCTTCTGAGATCTGATAAATAATCAGAATTCACAGCCGTGTCCCTTAAACAAGCAATGGCTCCAAAAAGGACCCGGTCTTAAAAGGAACCAAACCAACAATGTCATGTTGCACAACTGGACAAGGCTAAAGGGTGATGTCACTATTCACCTAGATCAGGGGTAGGCAACCTGAAAGCCGTAGGACTACAAGTCCCATCATGCCTCTGCAAGTCATAGCTGTAACTGTCAGTTTTGTAATCTTTGCAATGCCCCATGGGAAATGTAGTTCCACAACAGCTAGAGAGCCGCAGGTTGCCTACCCCAGACCTAGATGAAGTGTTCACAAACACCTGGTTTCATTGGCACCAATTTTCTAATGAAAATATATCCATCATCTCAAAAAGAAGCCTAGGAATGGACCAAGATGGGAACATACCTCCTCCACCCTTTTTTCCCCCCTTCTTCCTACATGCGCTGCTCTTAATGCTATATCTACCCCCTCTTCTGATGATTCTCCCCTCCACTACCTTCGTTGGTGCCATGCAGGTCTCCTGCAGACTGTCAATGTGAGCTGTCAGCCTGTACATCGTACAGGCTGGCAGTTTTACACTGACAGGAAGCATCAATGAAGAACCACAGCACCATGGTAGTTTATTGAGAAATACATGGGTTGGACAAAAATATAGAAACACTACATGATTTGCAGGTGTGAAAAGGATGACATGTTTTGCGTTGAAAGCGGAAGTGATATAACATCTTTTGGCTTCTGCTGTGTGATGAGACACCAAACTAACAGGTGGGAAGGTTCGCTTTTCCCATTCACTGTGTGCATGGCTAGTAATACGGAGTCATGTCAGAGCTTACTGAGCTTAGCTGGTACCTCTGTGACTGAAGGGGCCAATTTATTTGCGGTGTCACAAGGTGCAGTATCAAAGGTTATGGTGGCATATAGAGTTTCTGGGAAAACGTCGTCTGATAAGCATAAGTGCAGTCGATATGGTCAACTGGATTGTGACCCAGAATAAGGGAACAACTGCTGCAAAAGTGACTGCAGAGCTCAATCTCCGTGTCAAAAACAAAAAACTGTGGAGGGAACTCCATAAGCAAAACATTCACGGGCGAGCCGCAATTGCCAATCCTCTAGTGAGTGATATTAATGCTCAGAAGAGGAGAGACCAGTGTAACACCCAAAAATTGTGGACTATCGGTCAATGAAAGACTCTAATATGGTCATGATAAACTGAGCTTCAACCTGTTCCCAACCACCAGACGTGTTTACATGTGGACAACACCATCCCAAGCTTACCACCAAGACCATCTTGTGCCAAAAGTAAAACATGGTGGCGAAGCAATCATGGTTTGGGCAGCCATATATTTGTATTCTGCAGGCCCCATCAAGGTACAGTCAGTGACTATGTACAAATTGTGGCCGACCATGTGCACCCCATGGTGTACACACTGTTTTCCGAAGACAGCGCCATTTCCCAAGACGATAATGCTCTGATTCATACATGCTGGTGTTGTCAAATTGCAGTTTGAAGAGCATGCAGATTAAAGTCTTACACCTTCCCTTGGCGCCGCAGTCACCGGACCTCAATATCATAGACCGAATATGGTCAATTTTGGAGAACAAGGTTTGGGCTCATTTTTTTTTGCATGAAGAATAGCATCATATTCCATTATCCACCATCCAAGACTTATATTTGTCAATTCCCAGGAGAATTCAGGCAGTCTTGGATGCCAAAAGGTGGTTCAATACCATATTAGGAAACAAGTTTGTTCTATTACCTGGTGTTTCCATAATTTTGTCCAACCCTTGTACAATCCGACAGCCTCAAAGGCTGTTGGTACTTTTAGTTCATGGAAAAGATTGGTTGGGGAATTTGTTGAGGGGTCTGATGCTGAACATGTTACACCCTAAATATGGGTGTAACATGTAACATGTTTGGAAAGGTGAACTTATCCTTTAGATCAGGGGTGGGCAACTGTGGCCCACCAGCTGTTGTAGAACTACAAGTCCCATGAGGCACTGCAAAACTGACAGTTACAAGCATAACTCCCAAAGGCAGAGGCATGATGGGACTTTTAGTTCACCAACAGCTGGAGGGCCACAGTTGCCCACCCCTGCTTTAGATGAAATGTTTAAAACACCGGGCTCCATACTATTTTACGATTATACTGGATCCTTTCAGTGCCTTACAATCAACACTGCATCTTATATTTGGAAAGACTGCCTCCAAAAATAAATACACCTGAAAAAAAAGGGGGGGGGGGGGGGTACCATCATCCAAAGTGACTACATAGAAATTGGAGTGCAATAACCCCAGACTGGGGTAAATGGACTATTCTGGTACCCATTAACACCACAATAACATAGAAGTAATATATGTATTTATATTTTTTTACAAAAGCCTGAAAACCTCTTTGACACGTACATAAAATTCATATTTAAAACCACGCAAGTTGACAGCATGATACAATGAAGTACACGAGTCACATGTACTGTAACGTCACACCACTGAAGTGTGAGAAACCTGGGCGTGGTGCTTGCTCCTCTACATGCTTTGCATGTCTGCCATGGGGAGAGGTATATTAATGCCCCTGTGTGTCCCTTTATGAGCATAATTTCACATAGGTAAACAACCAATTTACTAACCTCCGTGTACTATTATAACTTTCATGTCCATTTATATCATGTCTTTATTTTGATTATTATGGATTCGTATCAGAATTAACTCCCTACTCTCTCCTCCCCCCACCTCCACCCACTCACCGCCCACGAGATTGCTAACCACTTCCAAAACAAGATCGACGCAATTCGTAGGGACATCGCCAACGCTTAGACTTCCACCCCGCCTAGCTTCCCTCCCATGATAACCACCTCAACACTCCCCTCCTCTAACCTCGCAACTGCCCAGACCCCAACCAAACATCCCGCACACTAAAACCCCCCCAACACTCCACTCCTTCGACCCTGCTACCACTGAAGAGGTCACTAAGGTATTCTCTGAAGCCCACCTCACCACCTGCCCCCTTGGCCCTGTCCCCACACAACTCCTACGGTCACCCTCCTCCACCAACCTACGCTCCCTCACCCACATCTTCAATCTATCCCTCTCTACTGGCGCATTCTCCTCCCCCCTAAAGTACGCGCACATCACCCCCATACTCAAAAAACCTCCCTGGACCCCACCGACCTGAACAACCAAAGACCCATCTCCCTCCTGCCATTTACATCCAAACTCCTGAGCGCTTAGTCTAGAATCGCTTAAGCTCCCACCTCAACGACAACAACAACCTCCTTGATCCCCTACAGTCTGGCTTCCGTCCCCTACACTCCACCAAAACTGCCCTACTCAAACTCACCAACGACATGCTAACCACCTAAGATAATGGCCACTACTCAGTCCTCCTACTCCTCGATCTCTCTGCGGCCTTCGACACAGTTGACCACCCCCCTCCTCCTTAATACACTACACTTCCTTGGCCTCAGAGACTCCGCTCTCTCCTGGCTCTCCTCCTATCTCTCCCAGCGCTCCTTCAGTGTTACCTATAATGCTGCCACCTCCCCCTCTCTGTTGGGGTCCCCCAAGGCTCTGTCCTCGGGCCCCTTCTCTTCTCCATCTACACCTCCTCCCTTGGCCAACTGATACGCTCCCATGGCTTCAACTACCACCTCTACGCCGATGACATGCAAATCTACCTCTCTACCCCTCGCCTCACCCCTTCAGTCTCCTCCCAAATCACAAACCTACTGAACAACATATCAGACTGGATGTCACTCCACTGCCCCAAAATAAACCTTTCCAAAACCGAGCTCCTAGTTTTCCCCTCAGACCGTGCCCCCCCCCCCCAACCTCTCCATCACGACAAACTTTTTGGCGCTATATAAATACTGTATAATAAATAATAATCTTTCCTCCTGAAGAAGCGGACAATATTTGCGAAACATGCAAAGGCGCAAACACCACCCCCAGGTTTCTATCCTTTCAGGGGTGTGAAGTTACAGTACCTGTGACTCGTGTACTTTATTGTATCATGCTGTCAACGTATGTGGTTTTAAATATGAATTCATGTACATGTCAAAGACGTTTTTTAGTCTTTTGTATCAATACATATATTACTTTTATGTTATTGTGTCGTAATGGGTACCAAAATAGTCAATTTACTCCAGTCTGGGATTATTCCCCTTCAATTTCTATATACAGCATCTTATATGGTGGACCTTGATTCCAAGTCTGTATTCTGTGAACAGGTGGATGCACATCTAATATGTGGACTACAGGCACTTCTCAGATTTGTAACTTGTTGCTTCTTCTCTTCTGTAATGCCATGTGCTCACTATGTGTACTTTAAAATAAAGACTTTTTTTTTTATATCATCCCTCTATTGTTTATACCATAGCTGAGTCTACCACCATGATGTATTTTAAAACTGTCCTCTGGTCATTTTTTCAAGGAACCCATCAAAACAGACATACAGAGATACTGATGCAAAAACAGTTTTTAAAGCTCAGGCTCCTGAGGCTGTCATCCCAACCTCCTACAATCTCCTCTTTGTACAGAAAGCCTGTGTACCCACCACAGCAACATGCCCCAGGTTGTACCAAACTTCTGCCACCTCCTCGTCATTCTCAGCCAGGGACAGAGCTCTCTCGAATGAGGTCAGGATCATGTCATACTGTTGAGCGTAGAAGCAGCACAGGCCCAGGTTGTTAAACAACTGGCAGTTATAGACTCCCATCTGAAGGAGGCGCCTGTGGGACAATAGGAGAACTTCAATGACTTTTTATTACAAGATGGCAGCCAGTACATCAATTTTGCTGTAAATGTTATAAAATGACAGACATCCCATAGATAGGGTCACCATCAAGCACCCATAAATTTGCTAACCTGTAAAATCGCAGAGCGATCTCTGGCTGGTCCGTGTAGAAATGGCTGCTTCCAATACATGCAATGGCTTCCACGTGGGTGTTGTCTTGTTTGAGGACCTCCTTGTAGTATTCAGCAGATGAAGTCAAGTTATTCATTTCCTAGATGGTAAGGATGAAAATGAATTGCTGCGTTCCTGCCAAACTACCACCAGCACAAACATTTTCCCTGTAGATGTGTATTTCATAATCTAAGGCTAGGTTCACATATGCGCAGATGGTGCGGCACAGAGCAGTGCGGACCCGTGGGAATGTGCTATACAGTGGGGATCGAAGGTTTGGGCACCCCAGCTAAAAATTTGTATTAATGTGCATAAAGAAGCCAAGGAAAGATGGAAAAATCTCCAAAAGGCATCAAATTACAGATTAGACATTCTTATAATATGTCAACAAAAGTTAGATTTTATTTCCATCATTTACACTTTCAAAATAACAGAAAACAAAAAAATGGCATCTGCAAAAGTTTGGGCACCCTGCAGAGTTAATATCTTGTACTGCCCCCTTTGGCAAGTATCACAGCTTGTAAACGCGCTTTTTGTAGCCAGCCAAGAGTCTTTCAGTTCTTGTTTGAGGTATCTTTGCCCATTCTTCCTTACAAAAGTCTTCCAGTTCTTTGAGATTTCTGGGCTGTCTGTCACGCACTGCTCTTTTAAGGTCTATCCATAGATTTTCAATTATGTTGAGGTCAGGAGATTGTGAAGGCCATGGCAAAACCTTCAGTTTACGCCTCTTGATGTAATCCCCCGTGGATTTCGAGGTGTGTTTAGGATCATTATCCATTTGTAGAAGCCATCCTCTCTTTAACTTCAGCTTTTTCACAGATGGCATCAAGTTACCATCCAAAATTTGCTGAAATTTTATTGAATCCATTTTTCCTTCTACTCTACTCGATGTTCCCTGTGCCACTGGCTGCAACACAACCCCAAAGCATGATTGATCCAACCCCATGCTTAACAGTTGGACAGAGGTTCTTTTCATTAAATTCTGTGCCCCTTCTTCTCCAAACGTACCTTTGCTCATTCCGGCCAAAAAGTTCAATTTTAACCTCATCGGTCCACAAAACTTGTTTCCAAAATGCATCAGGCTTGTCTATATGTTCATTTGCAAAGTTCAAACGATGATTTTTGTGGTGAGGACGTAGAAGAGGTTTTCTTCTGATGACTCTTCCATGAAGACCATATTTGTACAATGTATCTCTTTATAGTGGGATAGTGTACCACAACTCCAGTGTCTGCCAGATCTTTCTGGAGGGATCGTGCAGTCAAACGTGGGTTTTGAATGGTTTTTCTCACAATCCTGCAAGCTGTTCTGTCTGATATTTTTCTTGGTCTTCCAGATTTTGCTTTAACTTCCACTGTTCCTGATGACTGCCATTTCTTAATTACATTCCGAACAGAGGATATTGACATCTGAAAATGCTTTGCTATCTTCTTATAGCCTTCTCCAGCTTTGTGAGCGCCAACTATTTTCAGTTTTCTAGACAACTGCTTAGAAGAACCCATGGTGCTGATTGTTGGGGCAAGGTCAGATGAGTCTGGGCATTTAAAAACCTTTGAGATTGACATCACCTGGTCTGCCCAGACGATGATTGAGAACAATCCATGACACTGGCAGGTCTCAGCTTTGCAAAGGGGGCAGTGCATGCTATAAATTCTGCAGGGTGCCCAAACTTTTGCAGACGCCATTTTTTTTGTTTTCTGTTATTTTGAAAGTGTAAATGATGGAAATAAAATCTAACTTTTGTTGACATATTATAAGAATGTCTAATCTGTAATTTGATGCCTTATGGAGATTTTTCCATCTTTCCTTGGCTTCTTTATGAACATTATTATTACAAATTTCTAGCTGGGGTGCCCAAACTTTCGATCCCCACTGTATGTGTGTATATATATATATATATATATATATATATATATATATATATATATTACACACACTTTTTAGTCTTTGCCAACAGGCCTCTCCAACTAAAAATCTGTTACAAAATTACAAAGGGCTACAAAGACATTTAAGAGATTTGATGTGGCTTTCAACCAGAACTGTGAAAATCCTCCTAAACTCCATACAGTATGAAGGTATTTTCTGGGACCAGACCTAGAATTCCCTGGAAAGTAAAAAATAAAGGGACCCCCACCTCGTGGATCCGTGCCACCGCACACAGGAGGGTCACTTCCTTTGGAAAGCGGTCTAACCCTTGTTTAAAAAGGGACAGAGCGGTCAGAGGTTGGTCCATCCGTACGTACACCTGAAAGGGGAAAAAACAAAAAGGGGCTCAATCATGTACCTCACCATTTAAAAGAGAACCGTTTTAGACTAAAGCTGGCCATACCCTAGTAGATTTTCAAACAAATGTTTGTATGAAACTTCTCAGTTCATTATATGATTTAGTTTGTAAGCTCTTATAAGCAGGGCCCTCTTGATCCTCTTTTTTTATTGTATTGTAATTGTACGGTCTCCCTTCAGATTGTAAAGTGCTGCGCAAACTGTTGGCGCTATATAAAATGTATATGTATAATAATGTATAATAATAATAATAAATGATTTAAAGGTCATTTAACAGTACTTCAAAATGTCCTTTTAACATTTGAAACTGATTGGAATTAAAATTTGTTTGCTCAAGGAAAATCGATTGGACCACACTAACTATTAGAAAATCGAATGAACATTCTTAAAATTAAAAATTCTGAACAACATTTTACAAGTGTATGGCCAGTTTTACTCCCAGGCCTGAAAGAGATTCAGTGACTTTTTTTTTTGTCATAAAAGAGTTAAAGCTGAAGTGTAACATACAAATAAATTACCCTCCCCTTGTTCCCCCCCCCCCCGCCCTGATCAGCACGTAAGTCAACATTTTTTATCAAATCAATCCAATTTCAAGAAGTGCATCACTGGGTCTTTCTGCTGACCTTTGCTCCATAGCAAGATTAAGTTTGGTAAGAGGGATTGACGAACTCCTGTAAATTTTACAGCACCCTGCCTTGAGGGTTATATAAAAGAACAAATCTCCAACATCCCTTTAGACATGCATGCCTGCTGGCCAGTGAATGGTGTAGACCAGGGGCATGCCTTGAAGAGGTGGAGATCTACCTGAAGAACAAGGGAAAAGTCAAAGATCACAGAGGACAGTGTCGCCTTCTCATACCTAATTTAAACATCAAAGTGTCACATTACCATGTCACAATCTCGTGCATTGCATGACAATCATGGGTTTAAAATCAAGTGAGGAGGAGGCACCATATCGCCTTCCCATCACCTGTAAAACACACACTGATCACTTTTCCAAAAAACAGCAGTGCCTGCTGCACTTGAGAATGAGCATTCAGCAGTGGCACCCTTAGGGCACACAAAGTTGGGGGGGGGGGGGGGGTGTAAAACCCTCATGGTGATTTGCAGTTTTACCGCTTCAAATACCAATCCCCTTTAGCTGGCAAGGCAGCAGCCAAATGTGTACAGATGCCACAGCAGAAATTAAACCCCCTGTTGCTTTTGACGGGTGCTATCACCTGCCAATCACAACCCGTTCAAGTAAATGGGGCCACTCCGAAAGCGCCTCGCATTCTTCTGCAGGGTCCAAGAGGTTAAAGCAGGTGGTGAGAAAGCAACACAATGCCTGCTTTAACCCTGTTTGCTAGACTGCACAAGTTTGTACTTGTAGAGAGGCCTCACTTACTTGGCTGGGTCATGCTTGGCAGGTGCTACACCCACCAACCATGACAGAGTGCATAACTCCTGCTGCGGCATGCGTATATCCCTGGCCATTGCAGCTAAAGGGGGTGAGGTTGGGGCAGGGGTGGTAAAAACACATCTTAACTATGGGGTTTTACAACACCTCAAACTGCAAATGTACTTGAACACTTACTATTCTATGTCCCCCCTCGTAAGGCTGCTTTCTCACTGATGTCTTGCAGTTTACCTGCACCATGGGTGCAACACAGTACATTTGTGAATTTCCTCGGCTTGCACACTTTGCCATAGATTTCTATTATATCCCGTAGGTGTGGTGCATTCAGGAGTAACGGTATACTTTAAAAAGGAACATCAAACCCACAGGAAAATTGCAGGTGCACTGATTCGCACACGCAGTATGGGTAAACCACAGCGCATCAGTGTGAAAGCAGCCTTATACCATTATGCCCAGTGTATTGCTTCACACTGACCTGAAGATCTCTTCTTTCCTCCTGCTGGCACCACTCTGGAGACCGCTAGCCAGGATAAGAGGTGGAGTGCAGTTGGAATCACTCCGCATGGGACAGGAGCCAGCACTACAGAGGAGGAATCAGCTTATGCGGCTCTTGCTCCCTACTAAAGCTCTAACTTTACAAGTAATCCCTCTGCATTGCACTCTGATGTTCTGGAATGGTGGGTCAGTAAACCCAAACTGAGATCTACCAGTCACCTGATCATGATCTACGCGTTGCTGACCCTCGGTGTAGACTTTAGCTGTGCAATATGCTCATCCCTTATTTGAATTACACTCTAATAAAGTGTAATCCAGAAACTGGTGAGCAGATTGCACGTCTAAAGGGATGCCAAGGATGTGTTCTTTCATATATAATGCAGCAGTATTGAGACTGGTGCAAGCCTCAACGATCATATCTACATATGTTGAACAAAAATGATTGATGGCAGAGAAACCAACAGCTGTGAGTGACAGCCCAACGACAGTACAGATCAGGAAGAGAGGGGATTGATGATGAATGAAATAATTCAGATAGAACATTAAAGCTCAAAATAGCTGCTGCACCTTGAAAGGGTTATATTGTGTAGACGCAGGTTTTCAGGGAATTGAAATTCATTAGTTTCAACACAGGAGTGTGTGTGTGAGTGTGTGTGTGTGTGTAAATAAAAAAAAAAAAAAAAAGGCTGGTGTTCAGGTTTAATACAGCTGGTTGGCTTATGTTTGCTCCTGGGCATTTCCTAGCCTGCAGAAGAATAATGTTGTGTTTAGATTCTATACATCACATGTGTCAAACACAAGACCCACGGACTGAATCAGGCCTAACCGGCCATTTCATGTGGTCCTCGCACCTCTCCTGCAGCTGTGGCAACCCTCTTGTCTCCGTCCCCACCTTATCTCAACTGTCAGCAGCAGAGCGGGAAGACAGGACTCCTCTGCCGGATCCATGCAGCCGTGGAAAGCCTAGTCTCTGCCTCCCCATTTCAGAAGTGGGCAGCGGAAAGGAAGACTGACCTCCTCCTACAGACCCTGGGCTCTGTACAGCCATAGCATCCCCTTCTCTCTGCCTCCCCAGATCAAAGGAGACTTCAGCAGCTGACTCCAGCCCTCTTCTGGTCCTCCTCCAGACTCTGCCCTTTCTACTTCCCAGCTCAGCTCTCAGCTTCTTCCCCGAAGCAGGACAAGGTAGGGAGGCTACACAGTGATGAAATGGAGGGTGGGGGACTCTTGACTTCTGATGGTGGGGAAGGCTTTTGACATCTGATGTAAAGGGGGGGTAGGGTGCACTAGACATCTACTCTTACAGATACAACTGGCCATTTGAGGGCAACCATAATGCTGATGTGACCCGCGATAAAATGGAGTTTGACACCCCTGCTCAATACTGTGTCTGCTTATCAGTGGTGAATGCCTATTCAAAGGATGGGTAGGTGGGATCAGCAGGTTGGCTATTATTCATCATCAGTAGAAGGGGATAAAAAAAGAGCGCACCAACCTTGCGCATTACCTCAGTAAACAATGAATAATTATATTAAAGAAATATACTCACAAGAGTAGTGATAAAACAGGCATAAAATCACCAAAGTCCACACAGGGTTACAGGTCACATGCAAATTCCATCCAAAGGGGAGATAAAAGCTAACGCGTTTCGAAGGGTGATCCCTTCTTCATCAGAGCTGGGTTTGGCAGATAACAAAGCCTCAGTTCGGCAGAGTTCCCATAGCTAGGATGCGTTCAGCCACTGAGTGTCAGTATTTCAGCTTGTTTAAATACTGACACTCAGTGGCTGAATGCATCCTAGCTATGAGAACTCTGCCGAATTGAGGCTTTATTATCTGCCAAACCCAGCTCTGATGAAGAAGGGATCATCCTTCGAAATGCGTTAGCTTTTGTCTCCCCTTTGGATGGAATTTGCATGTGACCTGTAACCCTGTGTGGACTTTGGTGATTTTATGCCTGTTTTATCACTACTCTTGTGAGTATATTTCTTTAATATAATTATTCATTGTTTACTGAGGTAATGCGCAAGGTTGGTGCGCTCTTTTATCCCCTTCTACAGTCTTATCAAGCTTCATGATAGAGCTGCACAACCTTTGATCAGTATTGGATAAACATACTGTTTGTTAAATAATCTTCCTCTGGTCTGAGTCCTTGAGTGCAGGAGATAGTGGATGTGTGTGAGTTATTCATCATCAGCCGGTGTGGTACTGTCTCATGTTAACATACTGTAGCACAAGGCAAAGTCCATTCCTCTACAAAGGACATCCCTCCAACCACATATACTGGACTTAAGTGTGCGCCTTAGCTGCTTCTTTCTTCTCTGAAGCCTTGAAAAATAGCTGGCACTTCTGGGTATGGGAGAGCATGTAACTTGCTCCAGTACGATGGTCCCTAGGACAAGCAGACAATTGCTATGCCTGAGCACTGCCACATAACCAGGGAGGAACATCACTGCTACCCCGTGGCACTGGTCACCAACACAGCTTATTTCAGCACTAGGTAAGGAGCTGCAAGGGAGTGCAGTGAGGTCAGGAATGCTCTTTGAAGAGACACTGTCACTTTGCTTTGCATTGAGAGGTTAATGGTGTCTTTTTTTTTTTTTTTCAAGTCAAGCAAACATTCAAATAGAACATTTTTCCTGCTGCCCCCCTGAGCAGTGTAATCTTCGGTTTTCATGCCTAATAAGTCAATCTGTAGTACAAAAAAAAAAATATTTTTATATATATATATATATATATATATATATATATATATATATATATATATACATACATACATATAATACACACACACACACATATACACACATACATACACACACATATATATATAGAAATCAACAACACATGCAACTACTGCATGAGAAACAGGAGGGGAGGGGGGACCACAGGAGGTTTCTCGGCATCAACAGACTGAAGGCCAAGCTCCCTCAAGTGCTATATCATTTTTATCTTCACCTCACCGGTTGATGGATCTGACGTGTCAAGTTCTTGAATAAGCTGGTGATTTACAAACACCTACCTTTCCCAGGTACAGAAGCGTATCCACCACATCCTGATGTACGAGAGCCGATTTAAACTGATTCTCTGCTTCACGGAACAGCCCCAGCCTGTATGAGAAGTAAAGAATGCAATACTGTTTTCTTAGCAAATGACACATTGCAGCACCGGGCTTCTGTATTCAGATCCTAACTAGGACATACTCTGCACAAAGCCGGTAATAAAATAGTGTATGACTGGTGGGGACATTACAGTATAAGCACTTCTGGTGCAGAGACTGGTGTAACTGGCTCACTGTTGTCTGTACAGCACTGCGGTATATGTCAGAGCTATATACATGTATTACAGTAATAATAATAGTGGTGGGGACTACTTCTTCACTCTCTATGACCTCGCAATACAGAAGGCATTCAGGTATCCACTATTGATCAGTATCTCAGGCAACCAATATAAATTGAGATCTTTTTTTTTTTTTTTAAACCACACAAATAGAGGAGCTTTCTTTTGTACTGATAACTTTCTTTGATACTGATAACAAGTTTAAACAGGTGCCATTGATACAGGTAATGAGTGCAGGACAGAGGAGCCTCTTAAAGAAGAAGGTACAGGCCTGTGAGAGCCAGAAATCTTGCTTGTTTGTAGGTGACCAAATACTTATTTTCCACCATAAGCATGTGCAAATAAATTCTTTCCAGATCAGCCAATGTGATTGTCTGGATTTGTTTTCTCATTTTGTCTCTCATAGTTGAGGTCTACCTATGATGCCAATTACAGGCCTCTCTCATCTTTTTAAGTGGGAGAACTTGCACAATTGGTGGCTGATTAAATACGTGTGCGTGTACACACATATATATTATTATATATATATATATACACACACACACACACACACACACACACACACACATATATAAAAAAATAATAAATTATACCACACACATACATACATACATATATATAATATCTCTATCTATAGCTCTCTTCATACATTTAGGGAAAAATATATTCCGTTACGTGTCTTTGGTTAAAAAGCAAAAAATAAAATGTGTATATTAACTGGTTTGTGTAAAAGATATAGCACCTACAAACTATGGTATATATATACTAGAATTTCTATTTAATTTTTATTTCAGCGGTGATCAGCAACTTACAGTGGGACTGTGATAGTGCACCGGGCAGTTTGACACTGGGTGGGAAATGACTGACACCGACATCTCCAGTGACACTAATACAGTGATCATTACTAATACTAATACTATACACCGTTGTTGTACTAATGACACTGGCTGGGAAGGGGATAACATCTAGGGGCAATCAAAGGGTTAACTGTGTGCCTAGCAATGTGTGCTGCTTTTACTACAAGACGCGTTTTGTTTTTTTTCTCATCTCTGCTTTGCCAGGAAAAAAAAAAACAAAACAGACATATTGCTGCTCCCACCTACAGAGCCCTGTGTTCTTAGTAAACACAAGGCTCTGTACTGTCATTCGCTTAGCCAGTCAGCAGGTCCCAGCCATAAATCATTGGTCGGAACCTCTTGACTGACTTGTGCTTTAGCGAATGACATCACAGATGAGGTGCAGGGCGTGTTCCCCCTACCAAGAAATGCTAATCAGGTACATGGCCTACTGCGGTAATCATTCTGCTCCTGTTCCAGAGCTTTGCCTGCTGAGGAAGCTCTGATACAGGAGCGCAGCATGTACAGGATCTGGCGCTGCGCTGTGTGTATGAAAGCACTGGCTCTACTAATCACTATGATCCACTATGTTTATTCATGCTGAGATGCATGGCACTGTGGGTGCTTTTTAAATGTAAGTGTTGATTTTTGGAAGCTTTTAATAAATTGTCACTATTCTGAGAGCTCTATTGTGGTCCGATTCTACTTTTACATGTGATGTATCCATAGTGATGAATACTGAGGAGGAAAGAGCGAGAGGAATAGCGAATGCCCAAGGTGGGGTTAGAAGTGTATTATGACCTTGATCTATATCTGTATCTTGATTGTCCATTGCACAAGGTGAGGTCACCTGTCGACAGTTGTCTTTTATACAGGTAACAAAACGAGATTAGCAGCACTCCCTTTAAGAGACTGCTTCTAATCTCAGTGTCAGGAATGGACTCAGCACTGGTGGTGGGACTCACCTGCCATGTGGGCTGCAGTACCAGGGCTGGCCAGCGGGTGCTCTCAGCAATCAGAAGCTCACTCCTGCAGGCAGCCATCACCTGAGGCTGATTGCAGGAGGTGTATTTAAGGAATGGCCAGACCTGCAGTCAGTGCCTTGGTGTTGTTTCCCATGAGCCCCTGTACCTTGTATCCTGTGTTCCTGTTCCTCTGCCTATCTGATTTGTTGCCGACTCTGCATTGTTCCTGACCCTGCTGACCGTCTCCTGTTTAACCCCTGGCTTGCCTGACCATCCTTCTGCCTGATCCCCTGTACCGCGCTGCCCGTGAGTTACTGAACCCGGCTTGTGACCCTGACCATTCTCTGCCTGATCCACTGTACCGCGCTGCCCATGAGTTACTGAACCCGGCTTGTGACCCTGACTATTCTCTGCCTGCTCCTCCGATACCTCACTGCCCGCACGTTGCTGACCTGGCCTGCCTGACTACGCCTGACGCTACTCAGACGATCCATCCATCCCGCACGGATCCAGTCACTACTGTCCAAACCTGCCAGCCCCTTCACATCAGGCTTTCCCCTGGTACATACCCTCGGCGGACCCCTCTACCACAGTTGGGTGCACTCAGGGGCCACGACCTGGTCTCAGTCCTGCACCAAGTCCATCCCCACCATCAGGGGCTCTGGTGAAAAGGCAGACTGGGGCCTAGACTCCGCGCCCTGGGGAATCCTGTTCTGTGGGTCACTAGAGATCCCGCCGGGCGATGCCTGACAGTACCTTACGGCCCACCTGACCATTCCACCTCTCCAGCCCTGACTACGCCTGTGTTCCTGAAGCCTGCTACATCCCTGTGTCAGTCCACACATCTCTGGTCTTACCGGGAGCCCTGACACTCAGCTTGTTACCTGTATGAAAGACGCCTGGTAGCCAGAAATCCTGCTGAATGATAGGGGATCATATACTTATTTCCCTCATGAATATGCAAATCAGTGCATTTATTAGACATGCATTTCCTTTGAATTTTTTGTTGCTATTCTGTCTCTCAGTGTTACAATACACTGAACATTCGATTGTTAGACTGATCATTTCTTTGTGAGTGGGCAAACATTCAAAATCAGCCGGGGATCAAATACTTATTTCCTTCACTGTATATATTATGTTGAGGTGTGGTGAAATGCACAAATTGATGTGTCAGCAAAAATCACTTTTGATTATCTAGTTTTATTTTTCATGCGTTTATGGGCTTTTAATATTTACTGAGCAGATTGTTTTTGATTGGTCAACTGGACGTATGGACACACAATTCTTACTTCAGATACCTCAATACTGATCCAGAAATCTTACCTGTAATAACACTTTCCCAGCTGAACCTTCCACCACCAGTCCTTGAACTGAGCGTGTTCAGTGGCCAGAGCAGCCAGCTCCAGAGCCTAAAACACAAACAGGTCATTTTCATGTCCGGTTGGAGTGTACCTATACAGGGGAACTAGAACTAAAAGGTCTTCCTGCTGTAAAGTCTTGAAAGATATCACACAGTGAGTTGCCCACAATGCATGTATTGTACTATCTACAGCTTTGTAAAAACAAAAGAAAAATGCAGGATGAAGAATTTCCATATTTATAATAACTTCTCTCTACATGTATGTGACATTCTGCAGAGAGATATTAAATGGTCATTATATTTTATCTCCAGAGACCCAGAGAACTAAATCTGACAAATTCTACCAAACGCTAAAACAATCCTTTCATATTGAGATCTCAACAGAAAAAAAAAAAAGTTATTTATTGAAAACAGAATTCTTACATTTTTCACATCATTTTCATGGTGGAAGATGTATTCAAACAGCGTCTGGAAAAAAAACAAACAAAAAACCAGAACATGTAATATCGGTCAGTGTTGGGTGATAAGCATCTCTCTAGTATCCATTGATCCTGCCAGTAAATCTATTTTTTTACTTGCTGTAACAGGCAATTTATTTATTTTTGTTAAATAACGTCATACTTACCTGCTCTGTGTAATGGTTTTGCACAGAGCAGCCCCGATCCTCCTCTTCTTGGGTCCCCAACTAGTGTTCCTGGCTCCTCCCCCTTGATCAGTGCACCCAATAGCAAGGACGCTTGCTGTAAGGGAGCTGGTACATGCTTGCTCTCGAGTCCTGCTCTATACATCCATAAGACACACAGAGCCGCAGCTCGCCCCCCCCCCCCCTGCTCTTTCCTCACTGGCTGTGATTGACAGCAGTGGGAGCGGATGGCTCCCGCTGCTGTGTCTCAACCAATGAAGAGAGAGTGGCTTCCATGCACATTGCTGGATTGAGAAGGGGCTCAAATATGAGGTGGGGTGGGGGGAACCAGGACACAAGGTTTTTTTTACCTTCATGCATAGAATGAAGGTAAAAAAAAAAAAAAAAAAAAAAAAAAAAACGTCAGCCTTTACAACCACTTTAATTTGTTTCTGATTATGTCAGTATTTCTGTGCTCAAAGCGGTACATTTTTTTGCATGGAAATATGTCTTTTTTTTTTATTGTAGGCCTGTAATTCTTAGGAATAACTCACTGACATCTGTCCGAACAAGAGAGTCTAGTAAACATCCCGGGTATGATAAAATTTGAAAAGCGAAATCATAAATTATAATTTAATAAATAATCATAAAAAAAATAATATAATAATAATAAATTTATTTCAATAATATAATCAAACCAAAAACACTGAAATTTGAACTATAGCGCCAAGTTCGCACATCGCTGATCTTAGTCGCAAAAGCGTTTTCAGTGTCTGATGAGGAATTTCCCCACGAATCATTATCACTCAATTCTGCAAGTGGTTCTGATTTACTATCGCTGTTCTCTAGCCGGTCTAAAACCGCTTTTGACCTAAAAGGACGCTTTTTGGACGCCATGGACGTTTCTCAGTTTCCAGGCAGAAAGAACAGTCAAAATGCAGGCAGGGCGCCGGACAAAGCACTCGGGACACAATGTATGTGAAATGGTTTGATACAGGAATGTTATACTATGTGATTTTAGTGTATTTAGTGAATGTCACTTTTTAACATTTTTAAATTCCCTGCCGGTTACGTCCCCCGTACATCCTGACGTCGCAGGGAACGGAACCCAGAAGACAGATGCCGGTATCGGCCGGAGGAGATGGCCAGGGACGTTGCAGGGGGGACATCGCGGGAGCGCAGGACAAGGTAAGTGATCGAGGGATCCCGGAGCAATGCTGTAGGGTAATCCCGAGTGTAGCTCGGGGGGGGGGGTTACCACTTGTGGTGCTGAAACTTTACCGCGAGCTACACTCGGGAATACCGCCAGGGGGGTTAAGACATCACTAATGCTAACTCTCACCATGCAGAGAAAGGGAAGGGGGAATAGGTCACCTCCTAACAACACTGAGGAAGGATATTGTGGCTTACAGATGGAAAGGAGTGGGGATCCTACGGAGCTGCCCTGACTCCCGGTCCTCTCTTCTCTGGACCTCCCCGACACACAGTCCTCCTCTTCCCATTAGGAGTTAAATAGATTGCAGGGTCCAGGGAGACAAGATATAGTGAATGCAGGGTCTGCGGAGAGCGGATATAGTGAATGCGGGGTCCGGGGAGAGCGGATATAGTGAATGCGGGGTCCGGGGAGAGCGGATATAGTGAATGCGGGGCGGGGAGAGCGGATATAGTGAATGCGAGGCCCGGGGAGAGCGGATATAGTGAATGCGGGGTCCGGGGAGAGCGGATATAGTGAATGCGGGGTCCGGGGAGAGCGGATATAGTGAATGCGGGGTCCGGGGAGAGCGGATATAGTGAATGCGGGGTCCGGGGAGAGCGGATATAGTGAATGCGGGGTCCGGGGAGAGCGGATATAGTGAATGCGGGGTCCGGGGAGAGCGGATATAGTGAATGCGGGGTCCGGGGGGGAGAGGGATATAGTGAATGCGGGGTCCGGGGAGAGCGGATATAGTGAATGCGGGGTCGCGGAGAGCGGATATAGTGAATGCGGGGTCCGCGGAGAGCGGATATAGTGAATGCGGGGTCCGCGGAGAGCGGATATAGTGAATGCGGGGTCCGGGAGAGCGGATATAGTGAATGCGGGGTCCGCGGAGAGCGGATATAGTGAATGCGGGGTCCGCGGAGAGCGGATATAGTGAATGGGGGGTCCGCGGAGAGCGGATATAGTGAATGCGGGGTCCGCGGGGAGAGCGGATATAGTGAATGCGGGGTCCGGGGAGAGCGGATATAGTGAATGCGGGGTCCGGGGAGAGCGGATATAGTGAATGCGGGGTCCGGGGAGAGCGGATATAGTGAATGCGGGGTCCGGGGAGAGCGGATATAGTGAATGCGGGGTCCGGGGGAGAGCGGATATAGTGAATGCGGGGTCCGGGGAGAGCGGGGTCCCGGGAGAGCGGATATAGTGAATGCGGGGCGGAGAGCGGATATAGTGAATGCGGGGTCCGCGGAGAGCGGATATAGTGAATGCGGGGTCCGCGGAGAGCGGATATAGTGAATGCGGGGTCCGCGGAGAGCGGATATAGTGAATGCGGGGTCCGCGGAGAGCGGATATAGTGAATGCGGGGTCCGCGGAGAGCGGATATAGTGAATGCGGGGTCCGCGGAGAGCAGATATAGTAATGCGGGGTCCGCGGAGAGCAGATATAGTGAATGCGGGGTCTGCGGAGAGGTCCGGGAGAGCAGATATAGTGAAGCGGGGTCCGGGGAGAGCAGATATAGTGAATGCGGGGTCCGGGGGGGAGAGCAGATATAGTGAATGCGGGGTCCGGGGAGACCGGATATAGTGAATGCGGGGTAGACCGGATATAGTGAATGCGGGGTCCGGGGAGACCGGATATAGTGAATGCGGGGTCCGGGGAGACCGGATATAGTGAATGCGGGGTCCGGGGAGACCGGATATAGTGAATGCAGGGTCCGGGGGAGACCGGATATAGTGAATGCGGGGTCCGGGGAGACCGGATATAGTGAATGCAGGGTCCTGGGTTTAGTAACACTTTAAGGTAGAAAATGTTTAGGCCTCAGAACAGGAGGAAGCAGCACCTCCAGGGCATACCTGCTCTCAATTAACTCACTGCTATATACACTATATTGCCGAGTTTTGTGTGTCTCCCCCCTCCAAATCATGTGATTCAGGTGTTCCAAATTAATATGGACACAGGTGTATACAATCAAGCCCCTAGGCATGCAGACTGCTTCTACATACATTGGTGAAAGAATGGGTCGCTCTCAGGAGCTCAGGGACTCCAAGCGTGGTCCCGTGATAGGTGGCCACCTGTGCAATAAGTCCATCCGTGACATTTCCTGGCTACTAAATATTCCACGCTCAACTGTTAGTGGGATTATAACAAAGTGGAAGCAACTGGAAACAACAGCAACTCAGCCACCAAGTGGTAGGCCACGTCACATGACAGAGCGGGGTCAGCACATGCTGAAGCGCGCACTGCGCAGAAGTCACCAACTGTCTGCAGAGTCAATAGCTAAAGATCTCCAAACTTGGTGTGGCCTTCAGATTAGCACAACAACAGTGCGTAGAGAGCTTCATGGAATGGGTTTCCATGGCCGAGCAGCTGCATCAAATCCTTCCATCACCAAGTGCAATGCAAAGTGTCGCATGCCGTGGTGTAAAGCACGCCGCCACTGGACTCTAGAGCAGTGGAGATGTGTTCTCTGGAGTGACCAATCACACTTCTCTGCCTGGCAATCCGATGGATGTGTCTGGGTTTGGTGGTTGCCAGGTGAACAGTACTTGCCTGACTGCATTGTGCTGAGTGTAAAGTTTGGTGGAGGGGGGATTATGGTGTGGGGTTGTTTTTCAGGGGTTGGGCTTGGCCCCCTACTTCCAGTGAAGGGAACTCTTAAGGCATCATCATACCAAGATATTTTGGACAATTTCATGCTCCCAACTTTGTGGGAAGAGTTTGGGGATGGCCCCTTCCTGTTCCAACATGACTGCACACCAGTGCACAAAGCAAGGTCCATAAAGACATGGAGGAGCCAGTTTGGGGTGGAGGAACTTGACTGGCCTGCACAGAGTCCTGACCTCAACCCCATAGAACACCTTTGGGATGAATTAGAGCGGAGACTGCGAGCCAGGCCTCCTCCCCCGACATCAGTGCCTGATCTGACAAATGTGCTTCTGGAAGAATGGTCCAACCTTCCCATAGACACCCTCCTAAACCTTGTGGACGGCCTTCCCAGAAGAGTTGAAGCGGTTATAGCTGCAAAGGGGGGGGGACCAACTCAGTATTGAACCCTACGGACTAAGACTGGGGGGCCATTAAAGTTCATGTGCGTGGAAAGGCCGGCCGACCAATATGTTTGGCAATATAGTGTGTGTATATATATATATATATATATATACATACACACACACATATACATACATACACTTTATGTCCTAAGTTTGGAACTCAATTAGTCTGGAGTTAACCACACTTTTCAGAGGGTCCTTGCTGGTCTAATGCAGCTTTACATTTTTATTTTTTCTTGGCAAACGTATGCAACAAATCTTTTGTTTTTGATGCAAACTGCTGAAACGGTTTAGACTGTGTTTTTGTGCCGGATGATTTTTTTGTATTGTTCTCTGGACTGCTTACATGCACCTCACTTTTGCTAGTTAATGATGGATCTTAGCGAATGCCATTTGTACTTTTAAAGTAGAACTCCAACCCAGCGGGACTGTTATACCCAGAATGCAGATATAGGAGATTAGCTACTCCCTAGTGAACAATACAACAAAAATTCTAGATGGATCTCTCCAGGACGTCGCCGACTTTCAATAACTACGCAGTGGAAAGTAGAGACAACTGAAGTGTTCAAATGCAACTCTAGGGAACCCGCTAGTGATCTGATGAAATAAAAAAGCATTTACAGCATTTCTCAATGAGGTTTCCAGACTGCCTGTTTAATATTTATCAAAAGAATGAGACAGAAACAAATACATTTCTTTTGCAGAGTTCTCTAGCTATGAGTAAGGAAGAAAAGGCCGTTAGAGACGAAGTCAACTCTGCTACCAAGCAAGCACTCGGTTTCATCTGACACCTTCCACTTCACGCCATTCAATCTGGTTTAACCACTTCAAGTCCGGACACTTTCACCCCCTTCCTGTCCGGACACTTTTCACCCCTTCCTGTCCGGACACTTTCACCCCCTTCCTGTCCGGACACTTTTCACCCCCTTCCTGTCCAGGCCAATTTTCAGCTTTCAGCGCTATCACACTTTGAATGACAATTGCGCGGTCATGCAACACTGTACCCATATGAATTTCTTAGCATTTTTTTGAGACCGATAAAACTTTATTTTGGTGGTATTTATTCACCACTGGGATTTTAATTTTTTTTGCTATATAAATTAAAAAGTCCAAAAATTAAAAAAAAAAAAAAAAAAAAAAAGTGCGTTCTTAAAAAATGAGGCAAATAAGTAATATTTCTTCTTAAATCGGGGCCAAAATGTATTCAGTTATCTTTTTAGTAAAAAAAAACAAAAACAAAAAAAACAAAAAATTAGTTTATAACCAAAAATTTTAAATTTTTAAAAAAATGTTTTTACATTTTTAGATTATTATTTATGTTTTTTTTTTTTATATACTGTCACCCTAGCAGTACAGTGTCACCATAGTGACACTGTACTACTTGTGGGGGGTGATGAAATTGTTTTTTTTTTTTTTTTTTTTTTTACACTGGATTGCTTTTACACCCATAAAGGCTGTAATAGCAATCATTTCTCCTCCTCTCTGGCTGCATTCTTGCAGCCATTGAGAAATACTGTAAGCTGTGATTGGTCACAGCTTGTCACATGGCACAAGACTGTTGTGAATAGCCTTGTACCATGTGACCTCTGTGATCATTCACAAATTTCACACGTAGTAAGCAATGATGTCAGAAGTGACATCATGCTTACTACTCTTCATGTGATCACTGATTGGCCAATCAGTGATCACATGATCGGGACCTCACACAGAGGTCCAGTGCAACAAACGGTGTTCCACTGTTTCTGGAAGACGCAGAGGGCACTGGATCGCGGTGCTGCGTGCTCCCAGGAGTGCGCACAAGCAGGGAGGCCATTTACAAACGGCCACCTGCCCCTGCACTGCTCCCGTCGGCCGTTTATATACATGGGCCGGAAGGGAAGTGGTTAAATAAAAAGTCAATATTCACTTTCATAAATGTGGTTATATTTCATATTAGCTATTGTGTAAACTAACCTTTGCCAGGTTGGGACTCTGTGCATACTTAGACAAATTTAATCTGGATAGGTTGATAAAAGGTCCATCTGGATTGGTCAACATTGAAGCCTAATGAAGAAACAAAAAAACACAGAACAATTATATTAAAGACCAAAAAAACCCCTAAAAAAAACAAAAAACTGCCTCTCTCAACAGAGATTACTGGGAGTTCCATGAGCAATATATGCCTCACAGAGGATTTCCCACTGACACAAATGACCTCTAGCCACCTCTTATGCTGGCCATACGCGGTTAGACAATTGTTCGAAAAAAAAAAAAACTGTCGGATTTTGAAAAATCTGTCGAATGTGCAGCAATAACGCCATCATTGTATCAGTATTTGGCCCTCCAATAGTGACATATGATCGATTGATAACATAAATGGTACTTTTTTTGTCACTCGATTACACTTCTGGGGATTTTTTTTTAACTGTTTTCAGTTTATTCAACATAAAATAGAGCTTAGTTATGTAGCATGAGGCTGCATATTCTGCAATAATTTACATTTTTGGTAAACTCATTCAATGAATCCAAGCTCTGCCAGCTGAGATCACACGCACTGCACTGATGCAATCACACAATTTCACAGTAACCATGAGAAAAAAACATGAAATAAAAAGAATTTGAGTCGTTCTCCAGCTAAGTGTGATTTACCTAATAACCTAAAATCGGTTCTGATATCGATGTTTTACTAACCGGATAGCCTATTATTCTAAAAAGGAAACCTTCATTTGGTTTGCAAATATTAAACATTCTAACTACCAGCAAGAATGAGTCGGATTGCTTACATTTAAAAAGAGCACCTGTCATTTTAGATGCATCATGGCAGCGCCTGTTAGCAGGCATCCACTCGCCTACTGCCGCCATGTCCCTCATCTTGTTGTGTCACAGCCGCATCACCAGCCATGCCATTAAAGTGAATGGGACTCTCGGTAAGTTAACAGCAGGTCAGAGGAGGAGCCGCTGCGGGACGGATATGACAGCTTCTCTTTAACCTCTTCACGCCAGCCGAATGCAAATGTGCGGCCTCCCGGCGTCTGGGCCTAGACGCCGAGCAGCCACACATTTGCGTTCTATTAAAAAAAGAATATAAGTGCTGAGAGCGCACGGCCAGTACTCACGGAAAGGTCCCTATCTCCTCTTTCGATCAGGACCTTTCCCGATCACATGACTGCCGTGACGGCGTGTCACATGACCCTAAACCCCGCCCCACCTCCCAGCTTCTGAAACCCTTAAAGGGCCGGGAGCTGCCAGCGTGAAGGGGTTAAAAATTATGATTTAAATCAAGCATTTTAACTAGTGATTTAAATCAAATCCACCACCCTGGGCCAAACCATCACTTCCAGGTTTCCTTGTTCTTCTTTACACTGAATATAGTTCTTCATGACATTGGCTGTATGTTTGGGGTTGGTGACCTGCTATAGAATAAATTTGGGTCCAATCATACACTCATACACTTCCCTGATGGTATGGCATGATGGATAAGTATCTTCCTTTATTTCTCAGCATTGAGGACACCATTGATCCTGACCAAATCTCCAAACTCCATATGCAGAAATGCAGCCCCAAACTTCCACCATGCTTCACAGTTGCCTGCAGATACGCATTATTGTACCACTCTCCAGCCCTTTAGACAACAAATTGCCTTCTGATATTTCAAATTTTGACTCGTCAGTCCAGACCACCCGCTGCCATTTTTCTGCAACCCTGTTCCTATGTTTTTGCGCTCAATTGAGTTGCTTAGCCTTGTTTCCATGTCCTATGAACACCTATTACACCTCCTGTGTACCTCTAAACTGGTAACCTGTAAAGGCTTTTAAAGCATCGCCTATGGAGATTTTTTTAGGTATCGTAGTTTGGTGCTGTTTCCATAGGTATATACAATTTAAAACATGACATGTTCGGTATCTATTCACTCGCTGAAACATTTTTTATATTGTAACAAAAAGTTAAGTATTACACACTCACCGCCCAATTCATTAGGTCCACCTTGCTAGTGCCAAGAAAATCTCCACCCACACCATTACACCACCACCACCAGCCTGAACCACTGATGCAAAGGATGGATAGGATGACACCACCAACCATGAACCACTGATTCAGGTTGTCCCTTACCCATAAACCTCTGACCATGACACCACCACCAGCAGCCTGAACCATTGGGCGGACTGACAACTCATGACACCACCACCCCGCCTGGATAATAGGGGATCATGGACACCACCCCCGTCTGTCCTTGCCCACAACTCAAAAAGCCTATGAAAAAGGATGGATCCGCCACACCATGGGGCATCAAGGCATGGGGCCCCCTACCTGACCCCCGGAACCTACAAGGGAATGGTCCCCCAAGTTTCCACCATGGTCAGTCCGCCATGCCCGATGTTGTTTGCTAAACCCTACCCTACCATCTGAATATCACAGCAACCAGTCTGCCCATTCTCCTGTGACCTCTGATATCAACAAGGCATTTTCTTCCACACAACTGCCCCTCACTGGATATTTTCTCTTTTTCAGACCATTCTCTGTAAACCCTAGAGATGGTTGTGTGTGAAAATCCCAGTAGATCAGCGTTTTTGAAATACTCAGACCAGCCCGTCTGACACCAACAACCATTTCATGTTCAAAGGCACTTAAATCCCCTATCTTCCGCAATCTGATGCTCAATTTGAACTTCAGAAAGTTGTCTTCACCATGTCTAGATACCTAAATGCATTGAACTGCTGCCATGTGATTAGCAGTTTGTGTTACCAAGCAGTTGAACGGGTGTACCTAATAAAGTGGCCGGTGAGTGCACAGTGTTTGTGTGCAATAAAATTCATTAAAGTGTATTTGTAACACCCATCACCATTTTATTCCCTAGGTCATCTCCAGGGCTAAAATGTTTTTTCTTTAAAAAAAAAAAAAAAAGATTTTTACATGTAGGAGAGAAAGATCAGAATTGGCTCGGTAGGGAAGTGGTTAATACCGCTTTAAAATAAATGTATTCTTATCCTTCATACTTTGCCAACCATATAAATATTCATGATAAACATATCTGAACCATTAACACCACAAAATTTGTGTTTTACCGTTCCGAGGCGGACATGCCTTCCAGAAGCACTGGTGATTGGTCGAGCAGTATTTGCAGTTCGGGGGGTCCTGATCGCTTGTTCCATAGTGCCTGGTCGACCAGACTGTGTACCAGGTCGCACAAAGCCTGTCATGGGCCTGCCAGATTGGGTGACGGGTCTAAACACGAACAAAGCTCACCAGCATTAATAAGAAGAAATCAATAGTTGCATCTGTCATTTCCAAAGACGCTTCCAGGATTATTGGAGACGTCTAAAGTGTTCCACACTTGTATGAGCACTGGAGAGCATCAGCGGAAACCAGAAAACTTCTTACCTGACCGCTGGGCTTGGCCCCTCGAATTTCTTTGCTGTTGCCTGTCTGAGGCTGGTCCCAGGACCTGTAAATAATTAATTTCATTTGTTCACTGCAGCTGTGTAAATCTGTTCACTGAAAAGATATGCGTCCTCAGTGGCCTCTAAATTATAAATACAGAGCAATATTATTAGCCCTCAGGTAAATGACATTTTCGACCCATTTCCAAAGTTCAGATTTTAGACCCTGCCTGTGTCATGTGCACTGGCATTGCCACTTGAGGCATGTGCACCAGAGGCATGTGTTGTAGGGTGACAACACAGAGGCCCAATTGGTAGCCAGGAACAGAGCATTGTCACCCTATAAACAGGAAGTTCCTGAACAAGGATCTGCATTGCAGGATCACCAGGGATTAGTGCAATGAAAGCTGATACCTGCTGACAGTAAGACTCAATGAACTACCACTTGTAGTGTTCTCAGTGACAGAATACTGTGAATGAGTGACGTGGGCGGGCAAACGCAATTTTTGTAATTTGTGACAGATAGTGGGGAGAAGATCACCCGCTAGCTGTCACAATGGGGAGCAGGGGCCGGTCCGTTCGTAACATGTTCGATGTTATACCCGGAACATGGGTGTAACCAGGGGGTGGACTGACCATTCGAGCACTTGGGCACTGCCCGGGGGCCCGGGATCAGTAGGGGGTCCTATGAAATGCCCCTGGTACCTTTTATAGGCTTTTTTGAGTGTGCTTTAAGTGGGCGCAAGGACACAGGGGCCCCATGATCCCCTATTGCCGGGGGCCCCATGAGTAGTCAGTCCGCCCCTGGGTTTAACAAATAATATGTTACAAAAGGTGAACTTATCCTTTAAGTTTTGACAGTAAAACCTGGAAGGCGATTGGTTTCTATGCAGAGCTGCACCAGATTTTGCACTCTTCGGTTTTAGTAAATCAACCCCACAGATTGAATTCTCTTAGCACTGGCACAGCTGTAGAATTGCATGTTATAGGACACCCAGCGTGTATATATTTATACTGAGAGTAGTCATGGTACAGGATGCTGCTAGACACATGCGTCCATAATCCAACTTACGTGCGACTTGTGCAATAGAGTTTTCATCCAGAGTTATTTCAGCGATTCCTTCCTGGTCAACGTCAATCTCATCCACGTAAACCATTTCTGTCAGGGCCCGGGTCTTCAGACTCCACGCTGCCTGCAGGAAAATACAGGGAATCCAGATCAGCATTGATTGAACCAATTCAGTAGCCCGATCCCCCCCTTCTTCGGGACATATCCCACAATTCATAGTGCCACTGCGCATGTACAGCACTTAAAAGCCGCTTTCAATCATTTGCCAGATGTGTGACCATCGATCCAAGGTTGCCTGTGCCTGTGGGTCCAGGCTACATCATCATCCAATCCTGCATTCATCTTCCGGGAAGTACGTATGTAAGGGTGGCTCCAGAGGGTCTCCATGGGACCCTGACACTCAAGAAGCCATCCTTACTACAGAAATTCAAACTAGCAAACAGGAAAAAGGGAGATTAGAAATCAAGATACATTAGAAAAAGCTTCAGACGAGGGAAGCTGGAAGCTAGAAGGGCTCATTTACATAAGCACTGGCTTTCTAAGGAGCTTTCTGCAGGTGAATTGCTTTTGAAAGTGTGCTTGGCAGGTAGTAAGAAGGCAATAGGTCACCTCCTCTCCAATTGTTTTAACCCCTAAAATCCTGCACCACCACAACATGCTGCGGAGCAGTCCCATTCGTTTGAATAAATTGGGTTTAGCACGCAGTACTGATGCATAAACACAATTCATGCTTTACCACTGTAGGGTGGTAAAAACACATGGCCTGAGCCAGCCACAAATGTAAACCCACCATTACATCAGCATTATAAATAAAAGTTTAAAAACTGATTTTAATATCACTTTAAAGATTAAATGGTTATCCTATATTGTACCAAACATGGGAAGCAGAGAGCTTAGTGAATATGGGAAAGCTCTGTGTACTTCCATCGTCCAATCACACGCAAGCAAAAATGTTGGGGTTTTTTTTTCCTTGCACCCGATTAGGTATTCTTCACAAAATGAAAACATTCACTAACCTCTTTGAAAAATTACCTCTAAAAGTGCAACTTCCCTTGCAAAGCAAACAATTTTCCTTTAGTAAATCAACCCCCTGTATGTGTATGTGGCTGGAAATGCTAAATGGCCATCTATCCTAAAGACAAGGATCTCCAGAGTCTGTTTTGAATGGAGAGTGGGGTAGCTGAGCCACCTACTCCAACCTTATCAAAATTTTGGAAAGATACCTCTATGGGTACAGATTAGGCTTTCCAATGCAGGATAAAAGTACACCTCTGTCTCCAAAGGCCTATTGTCAGTGGTTGGGACCAATGTTGGGAGATCATTTTGCTTCCCAAGTTCTGGTTACCTCTATCTTTAGGTTAGGGTCACCTGATGAGATGGAGGTCCAAGATTGCCAAGAGACCCATAGAACAGTAGAGTTAAAATGCAAATCTCATCCAATCTTATGCAGATGAAATAACAGACTAACTGGAGTGAATATTCATACAATTTCCATGTGAACATTCCCAATCTCATCTCTAGTAAATCTTCACAGTCAGTCACTCACATCTACAGACCAATAACAAAACTAATATCAGCTAACTAGATCTAGCTACAGTCTACAGAGAATGTGCAGCCAATACCTGGAGCAGGTGGTCAGAACTTTTCTCCTGGAGAAGCATTTGAAGAAAATGGGAAAGATTGGACCAAGGTATAAAAGAACCAAACAATGTCATAACATCTGCTGTGTGAGGAAAAGAAAAGTTCTGTTTGTTTTTAAAAATTTTGTAGCCTGCAGAAGAAATATTTCATAAGGATGATATTCTGTGCTCCTTACCACCAAATTGTCACCAGTAAGCATGAAAGAATAGACCTTAAAGACCAACTACAGCTGGGAAGACCATCCTTAGATCACCCACCCTGTATCAAAGAACAGACCTTAAAAGACCAACTACAGGCTGGGAAGACCATCCTTAGATCACCCACCCTGTATCAAAGAACAGACCTTAAAAGACCAACTACAGGCTGGGAAGACCATCCTTAGATCACCCACCCTGTATCAAAGAACAGACCTTAAAAGACCAACTACAGGCTGGGAAGACTGCCCTTGTATAAGTGAATAGACCCTAAAGACCTACTACAGGCTGGGAAGACCACCCTTGGATCACCCACCCCATATCACAGAACAGCCCTTAAAGATAAAGTACAGGCTGGGAAGATTGCTCTTGGATCAACCCCCCATATCAAAGGATAGACCTTAAAGACCAACTAGACTGGGATGACTGACCTTGTATCACCTCCCTTCCCCAATGTATAAAAGAATAGACCCTAAAGACCAACTACAATCTGAGAAGACCACCCTTGGATCACCCACCCCAAATCAAACAACAGGCCATGAAGAAACTACAGGCTGCGAAGATTGCTCTTGGATCAACCCATGTATCAAAGAATAGACCTTAAAGGCCAAATACAGGCTCAGAACACTGCCCTTGGATCAACCTCCATATCAAAAGAATAGACCTTAAAAGCCAAATACAGGCTGAGAAGACTGCCCTTGGATCACACCTTGCATTTCAATAAAGATACATTTCGGAGCTGTATCTGATCTGGCCACATGATCTCCTCTTTTTTCTGTGGTAGTGCTAGGAAGTCTTCAACACGTTTTACATGGGGTCCAGTTCACTGCATCACTTTTTGTGAGCCCAAGGCAACTTAAGGCCATGCCCCAGGCTGTTGACACCATATGAGCATCATTCAACCTCTCTTTGGCTTGTGGACACGTTGAGGGCCCACTGAAAATGAAGGTACCCTCAAGGAAATCTGTATCAATGGCACCAATATTCACAAAAGTGTGAATGGGCCCTAAGAGCGCTAGAGGGGTATTCAGAAATATGTTCTGGTGTCCCAAAAGTCTCAATTCAAATCAATATCTACATCTCCAAGGACTGCAGGAAGCAGTATCTTAAAGCTGAACTCCAAAAATTAAAATCATTGTCATCCTCCCACCTCAGCCAGGAGGAAGCTTTGCATTCAGTGATAAAATACATGGCTTCCTACGACTGGCTGATTCTGACTTGATTTTGTTTCGGGAACAGGACGGGAAGTCCCCATACCGCTGCCAAAACACAGGCCTGTATTCTGTATGTTGGAGATGCTCTCCTCTTTTTTCTGTGGTAGTGCTAGGAAGTCCTCAACACAGGCTTGCATGGGTCCAGTTCACTGCATCACTTTTTGTGATTCCAGGGCAACGTAAGGCCATGCCCCAGGCTGTTGACACCATATGAGCATCATTCAAAACCTCTCTTTGGCTTGTGGACATGTTGAGGGCCCACTGAAAATGAAGGTACCCTCAAGGAAATCTGTATCAATGGCACCAATACTCACAAAAGTGTGAATGGGCCCTAAGAGCGCTAGAGGGGTATTCAGAAATATGTTCTGGTGTCCCAAAAGTCTCAATTCAAATCAATATCTACATCTCCAAGGACTGCAAGAAACAGTATCGTAAAGCTGAACTCCAAAAATTCAGATCATCTTCATCCTCCCCACTTCAATCAGGAGGAAGCTTTGCATTCATTGATAAAATACATGGCTTCCTATGAATGGCTGATCCTAACTTGATTTTGTTTCGGGAACAGGACGGGAAGTCCCCATACCGCTGCCGAAACACAGGCCTGTATTCTGTATGTTGGAGATGCTATATACAGTTTTTATACAAACGTTCCCAGTGGACACATCTGTTAACGAATAAATTTGTGTGGACTACCTTCAACCGTTAACTCAACCTAAAGAAACGCCATTCATCACATCCACGTGTGCACCTCAACGTGCACTGCACCGAAAATGGCCATTTATATCTAACTGGGCTCACAATAGATTATAGGCCAAAAAATAAGTACCCGACTTCTATATTTCCCCCAGCAGGCAATATCGGTCCTTTAATGCATGTATCCTGGTCAGGTGCTTTTTTTTTTGCGCATCTGTGCACATTGGGGTGCCATTAATAATGAATGTCAATGCACCCCAAAGCACCCCATGCATTGTTGTACAGTACTGCGGTCCTACGCTTTTCCATTAGATGTTTAAGTTCAGAGCACAGGACCGCTGAATAGCAAAGGAGGTCTCTCTGTGCTCACCGGGCTGTAGAGCTGCATGCTAAATGCTTCATTGGAACATCTGTGTGTACGCAGCCAGAGAAGCAGGAAGGTGACTCAAGCAGAAAGCAGCATCTCCCCAAATATCTGATGTACAGTCTACATTTTCTCTGCTCTATGAATCCTGGCAAACACTCTTCAATGTAAAAAACAAAACAAAACAAAAAAAAAAAAAAAAACGAATACACAAAACAAACAACAAAAAAAAACCCAAAACAAACAAACAAATAAAACCAAACAAAAAAAAAAAAACTAAACTAAAAAACAAAACTAAAAAAAACAAGGGAAAAGGGACTCCATCCTTACCTGTTTAGGCGGAGTGGAACGGAGGACGGTTTACTCCCGGCTGCCTACAGAGCAGAGCGGGTTCCGTCTGTGTCCCCTTTACAGAAACTGGGCAGACACGGTCCTGTTTGTTTTTTTTTCAAGTTATGAACATTTTCAGCAAATACAGAAAATATCTGTGGATCTTGCCTGAAATGCCACGTCATTCCCACTTGCTGTGAGCTGCACAGAAAATATCTTCCTTCCTATCTATCTGCTCTAAATTACTAATTGCTCTGCCCCCCATGGAATGGAGATGGAGACATGTTTGTAGTCCATATCAGGAGGAGAGCAGCCAAGGGTGACAACCATGGCTCCCTCCATAGATACAGTGGACATAGCTAACCAGTGATAGGAAGGTGTTACCTACAACGTCACCATGCAAGTATACGATCCAAACACACACGTTTCTGCGTTAAAATTGGCTGTGTGTATAAGTGGGTGCTGCAGCGACCGTCCAAAATCAGCAAGGAAAAAAATGTCACCAGCACACCGAGGATCACCAATACGGGTCCAAAAGGTTTTAATAAACGATCACATAGTTACAGCAAGGCAACGTTTTGGAGTCTCGCAGGACCCCTTCATCAAGCAACTGTCTTTACACAAAGACAGTTCTGCTGACAATGTGTCACATGCCTGATGAAGGGGTCCTGCGAGACTCCGAAACGTT